TGGCTGCACAGTTACATCAAGAAAAGAGATTTTCCTTCACTTTAGAAGACTTGGATAAGCTAGAATTGACGGAAAATGAGCTACTTCATGTTAAATCCAGCAATCTTTTGTATTGCTGTCCCGTTGTCAGTAATAAGTCTAAATACCGTGAAACACATATTGAATATTGTTTTGCCCATTTGACCATTCAAGAGTTCCTGGTTGCTTGGCATTTGGTGTCGAAGAAGAAAATGCCAGCAAAAGAATCATCTGACATGGTGTACATATTCATGGGTGGTTTGTTAGGTTTGCACAAGAATGACAGATTAATGATGGAATTGCTAGAGTGTGTAGAAAAAAAAACCCAACGAGATGGATTTCGACAAAGACTGTTATCATTACGATGTCTGTACGAATATGGCCAAGACAGCGAATTGACAACAAGAGTTCTAACCACAAATCTTCACAACAGATTCTGGAGGATAAGTCGACAAATTGATTTAAGASACCTAACTGACACAGACTGTAGTGCAGTGGCAATGTTAATAAATAAAGTGAATGCTCTACCACACTCTGTTACACCACCAGWCACTTTAAATATTAMTGCGTCAACGTTAACTAGTTCTAGTTTACAAGCGTTGTTACCACCTCTCACTAAAGCAACGTGCAGTATCACCACACTAGAACTAGATGATCAATTAGACGATCAGTGTGCATACTGTTTGGGTCAACACTTGCCAAATACCAAGGTAACCGAACTATGGCTCTCTCGGAATGAGATAACTGATGTTGGTGTGAAAGGACTAGTGAGTCAGTGTCCCAGTAGATTAACTAAGTTATACCTGAATGATAATGCAATAACCGACATGGGTTTTCAGCACCTGGTCCATAGCTGGCCAAAAAACCTGACTACGCTACAACTGAAARACAACAAAGTTACTGATGTTGGTGTTGAATACCTGACGAACCACTGTCCCAGTAGTCTAACCGATATAGACCTATTTAGAAATCAAATAACTGATATCGGTGTGAAATTCCTTGCAAACCGATGTCCAAGTAACCTTACGGAGCTAGGCCTTTCTGGAAATAAAATAACCAATGTTGGCGTAGAGTACATCGTTAGTCACTGTCCCAGTCAACTGACTGTTCTGCGCCTGCTGCGAAGTGAATTTATATCTGATGAATGTAGAGAGAAATCCTATCTATTTTGTAAGAATACCTATCCTCGCCTTTTCCTCGACATTCTAGAGAATGAACGCATTCTAGAGACTGAACATTACTGAGTGGCAAGGCTGCCTTTCCGTATAGAGTGCATCATGCCTCGACGACATTCGATCAGGGAAGCCAAAGCAAGTACATTTTCAAATTAAGGAAAAYTCAAGCAAGTAGAGAAATGAACAACCTGGTCCATCAATTTCTAATGGTAATAGCAAAGTTCTTTTTTAAGAGAAAGCGAATCCAATATTGCATGAAAACTTTTCGTTTTTTATTTTTTTTTATTTTAATTAAATCTTATTTACATCTAATGGCATTAAAAAGTTATAATAAAATAAAACAATAAAACGYCTGTACAATTATTTGATTATATTTATCTCTGTAAGTCCATACTTCTTAGGTTGCATGTATAACGTAATATCTGATTACACCATGTAAAAACAGTCTGAAGTTTGAATAAACCATAATAATAATAAAGTAATAATGAATAAATAAAATAACAATGAAAACTAATGCTATGAGAGAT